GAAGCAATTTCGTAATTAATTATAATTACAAAATTGCCACTATAAATAAGTGACACACTGGCAATAATGTCTTCAGTATATTCATTTTGGGAAATTGAATTTTAGGAATTACAATGCATATAATACAATATTATTCATATAATTTGATAAATAAATGTAAATAAGTACTGTAGATGCTGTTAAGAGTTTTTATTAATGCATTAAAATCAGAGTGGATAAGATTGTATTTATCTATTTTATCTGTTCTTTTTTCCTATTCTAGTTGTGCATGTAAGCAGTCACATGATCACATGATTTCACAGTCCAATAAACTCAATGTCTTTAGGTTCAGTGAGGTCAAGGAGTCTGGTAAGTCTTGAGAATTTGTAAAAAGCACAGTAGCAGTAGGATTTGCACTGAAAATGGATACATAATCTATATTATTTACGTGGTTGAGTCTTTTTATTTAATTTATTTATTTATTTTTATTATTTTGCCATTTGATGGTTTCTTTCTTTATTGTCACCTGTCACCTCTGAGAAATAAAATTTGATATACAAAGTGGAGGAGGTTTGGTTGAATTTGGTAACTTTTTCTTATCAAACACATCTAGTCACACCTGCTTTAATCTATTGTGTTATATGTGTTTATTGTATTGTTATGTTATGCAATTAATGCATTACATAAGTCATTCAGTTATATGTTAAAATCCAGTTAAACATTGGTAATAGTGTGAAAACAAAGATTTTCACTTGCCAACTCGCCCAAATATGGAAGGAGAAAGAAATAAAAACCTTTATAATGACATAAATAATATATTGCACTTTGTGTGATGCAAAATGGAAAATCAGTGTGCTTATAGTATACAGAATATGGCAAGAATTTTTTTGTAAACACCTCATAAGCATTAACATAAAGCATAAAAAAGTATGAATGTCATTGCATTACAAAAAATATATATCAAAACAAGTGACAGACAGACAGCACAAAAAAAATCACAAAATTAAGGCAAAAATATTTGGATACGTTGTAGAACATATAGTTAATTTGATGAAATATATGATTACTCTGCTAGGACAAATATGTGAAGAGAGGAACTGACTTCATCTAAAAATCACAGAAACACCTGCTGGTTTAAAATAATTGCAAAAATGACTAGAAAAGTGAAGTTAGTTCTAAGAAAAGGTACAGCACATATACAGTACATTTGTTTGCAGATGCAATTCGGTTTGTTGTCAACTGATGCAATATATATATATATATATACATAAATGTACACTATGTTGTCTGAGGCCTGTCACGTGACGTGCGCAGTCGGCCAGTATTTTTTCTTAATAATCAAAATGCATATCTTTTATTTCGTGTCCATTGTCTCACAGTCTCTGATGATTTATCTCAGTCAGATCCCGGGAGCTCCACGAGGTCAAACCTCTCCGTGACTTTAGGAAACCTCTCGGAGAATCCAGAAACCCCTCTCAGCAGATCCAGCTGTGCTTCTCCTGAGAGACTGAGGAGGGTCTGCCACGCGCTGCTCTGCTGCTTTATGAGAGTACAGCTGAGTGTTGTGTGTTCTATCAGAGCTCAGGTCACTGCTGTACAGCTGCAGGTTTCAGCCAGATCCACACTCAGATAATAGATGAAATAGAAACTCACACGTGATATTTGATCTCTGGGGTGGAGACATCTATGAAAAGATGATTCTCAAACTAGACTTGGAAACATTTAGACTCAAACAAATGTGTGCAATTTGCAGTTTATTTTTATTTGTACTTTTACTGATTATTATTATTATTATAGCTTATATCAGACATTACAATAAACTAAGTTGGACTTACTCATCACAGTTACATCAGACTTTTACAGATGAACTAAATCACGTTTCAGGTGTGACATCTATTTGATACGAGAGTTATTAGTGAGTTGAGTGTGTTGTCTCCTGGTCATATCTGTTTCTGAAAGGAGGAACTGAGTATGTGTGTGAGTGAGTGAGAGAGTGTGTGAGTGTGTGTGTGAGTGTGTGTGAGTGTGAGTGTGAGTGTGA